CTGCTGCCAAGATGTGACACACGGGTTTGTGAGGTGTGACTCCGTTCTCTTCCAATTATGTAGGTGTGCTTTTCCATTTCAAACTAGGCATTTTTCTGTGTTTTGCCGTGAAATAATGACAGTTTCCCACCCCCCCCCCACCCCTGTATAAATAGCACTAGTAATAACCAAGAGTAGACTCTGATAGGACAAGGTTTGCAAAGTCTGGGTAGGAGTTCAATTTCTAAATCTCCTTTGGGGATGGATTTGGTAGCCGTGTTGGTCTGAGACCAAAAGAAATGCAACAATCTAGGACTCTTGGTTCAGAGATGAGACCTTTTATCGCAGAAAAAGATATATTTTTTGCAATTTCTTAGTTGGTCTCATAAAAGGGTTCATCTCTGAACCACGACTTCTAGTTTTTTGCATTTCTAAATCTCCGTTGCGCTTTTTCAACATTTTCCTGAAGGAGAAGAACCAAGTGTGAATTCCCCTGTTCAACACAAGATTGAAGCAACATGAAGTTCGTTTGCTGTGCGGTGATCTCATGAATGGGACGCATCTATTGTTAAATTAAAAATATGCTTTCTAAGGGAGGCTTGCTAATGTATTCCTTATAGCAAGCTTTCCATCATAAATCAACCGGTGAGAGCTTGCTAATCGCTGGGCAGGTCTCAAACCATATGAGCTCAATTATATGTCTGTGCAGAACAGTTGTGTTCACTGACCCATTCTCCTTTCCCAGCAATGCTGTGTATTAACTGTTGAGGGAAGATTTCTGTTAATGTGTTTGCAGCACACCAGGGAACTCTTAAAGTATGTGTATTGACAAATCTAGCTCTCCTGGTTTTTTGGGTTTTTTTAAATGTATTTCCTGTAATGGATTCCATATTTTCAAACCAGCAGAGATGGATTCCTTTAATGTCAAGGAAATCACGTATATATCTTGCGTGTGTGTGTAAATGAAACCTCCTATGAATGATAGACCCGTTTGGAAAATAAAATGTCTCTTCCCTGGTATTGTGATCTTTGTGTTTTGAACTATTGGAAATTGTACATTTTGGTAGAGAAAGTTCCAAAAACTGTAGGGTTGGGGATGGCCAAATGAAAACGTGACTATTTCGATCCGATTGTTTAGTCTTGTCATGCTGACATGCGCACCTAAACCTTTTTTTTTTATTGTTAGTCTTCTTTCCAAACAATCGGAAAACTTAAATCAACTTGGTTTTTCACCATTAAATAATTCCTGTTCCGGCAAAACACTATGTTACCATACATATGCAAAACGTATGTCAGTCGTCTCTAATGATGTACGTATGCAACGTACATTTGGTTTGTATGTTTTTAATATTGTGTGTGGTTGTGTGCACGCAAGTGTAGGCGTACAAGGACCAAAACTCCACCGGACACGATGGATTTTTTGGCTTGTCCAGCTAGTTCTGCGATCCAGCTTTTCCAGTATCAACTCTAATATGTGAAGATGTTCAACCGCAGAAACGATCAGAAGCTGTTGTGTGCAGCGAGGTTGAACGAAGGTTGCTGATAGAAGCATAGTTTAGCTTAGCTCTTCCCATATAAACCTACCATTGGTTTAACGCAGCTTTTTACATTACATTTACTATTCTTAGAACCAATACAATTATTTGTACTTATTAGTGTTAAAATGTGTATGGCCCAATGTGCCTCTAGATTTGCGTGTGGATTCAGGACCTGAGTTAAAGGATTAAGCTAGGAAAAGGTTGGAAGCATCTGAAAACAGTTTTTCTTTGGGGGCAGGCTGGAAGAGAGGTACATGAGCTTACACTGCTGGCTGTATCTTTCCCATAAGTGCACTCTGAGCATGATTAAAAGTGACTTTTGAAATCATTGAAATGCTTTTAAAGGTAGGTACTGTTTACCTGGCAAAGCCCTTAATCCCCCATTCAGGAAAGTACTTTCTTTAACCTTGGCACTGGCCATGAAGGGACCTACTCCCATGCTCAATCAGATCAGTTGGTATAAAAGAGGGGTCAACATCCTCTTAAAGCTATGGGGTGCTGCTTCTAACCTGGCTGTCACTCCACTGGTTGCCAGTTTTGGGGGGGGTTCTTTCCTTTTCTTTCTGCCCCAGATCCAATCACTTTGTGGTCCCAATCTGGTCTGCAGCTCATAGCTTGCAAACCCTGGTGTAGACGATCCATTATACTCTATGAAGCGATGACGGTTTACACTAGTTTATAATCTGCCCCTTAAAGAAGTAAGCATGGGCCTCAATGGGGTTATGCTGAGGAAAAGGTTGGAAAGTATTGGCCTAAGTACTGTGCTGAATTGGGGCCTTCCACCTCGATTGGTATGGTATGCTGGGCAAGTTTCAGACTTGAGATCTGTCTGTTCTAGACGTGATTACAAATGTTAATCTGGTTAGGACGTTACATGCATGCATGTGTGTCTGTTTGTGTGTGTCTTAATATCCCATTTGCTAACATTATCCACAGGAGTTGTATAAATAAAAACTCCTGTGGGTAATGTGTGTGTGTGTGTGCATGCGTGCATGTCCACATAGGTATCTTGTATAAATAAAAACTTCTGTGGTTAATATATGTGTGTGTGTGTGTGTGTGTGTGTGTGTGCGTGCATGTCCACATATGTATCGACATAGATCTCTATACAATCTCAATATCCCATTTACTCAGATTATACACAGGAGTTTACGTTTCATATAATTTCATATGTAAAATAAAAACTGTGGGTAATATCATATGATATAATACAAAAACTCCTGTGTATTATTTGATCAATATATAATATGGATTATGGAGATTATATATAGATAGGGATCTAGGTAGATGCATATGTAGACATGCGTGCGTGTATGTGCACACACACAAACACACTCACACTCTCACTCAGACTTGGATTTGAAACCTTATCTAGAACAAAGCTGTATAAAACGCCTGTGGGTAATTTTAGCGGATGGATGTATATCTCATTTACTCAAATTATCCACAGGAGTTTAAACGCCCCTGCAAGGTTGGGACAAGACATGGGAACTTTCTGTCCAAAATACGACTCCTTCAGAAAACTGTAATAATGTGGAAAGACAGGGATAGAATGGACACTGCTTTCCCTGGATGCCAGGGATGTCCCCTGCATGGGGACACTGCAGATTTTGATTTGACAAAATATTTTTTTACCAGGTTTCTTTAAAAGCCAAGAGCAAATTGGGCCTCTTGACCTGGGATTCAGAGCACTATTATGCAGAAGTACCATATCTTCTTGCATACAGTTCACACACTTTCCACTCAAAAAGGTTGCTGGAAAGTGGAGCTTGCATCATATGCAAGGAAATATGGTAAGAGCAATGCGAAAGTAGTGTTCGCACAATCCACAGTGAGCAGACTCAGCTCCCTCAATATTGGTAGTTAGTTAGTTAGTTACTAGGGATGTGTGAAATTTCACCCGCCGTTTTGTTTCGACAGTTTCGACCAATTTGGAGGTTGAAACGGCAAAATTGAAACAAAACAAAGGCCCTCGAAATAGCCTCGGAACAAAATGAGGCTGGTAAAACGTTGCAAAAGTCAAAACATTTTGACCATAGGCTGGGGATGGGAAGTCAGTCCAGCTGGGCTGACTTCCCATCCCCAGTGCAAGATCTGATAGGGGACGGGAGGCAGCCCAGCTGGGCTGCTTCCTCCACGCTAGATTGCGCCAGGGGTGGGAGGCAGCCCAGCTGGGCTGCTTTCCCATTCCCCCCGCTAGATCGTGCCGGGGGCGGGGGGCGGCCCGGCTGGGGCCTGCTTCTGCCCCCAGAGTGATCTAGCGGTGGGGATGGGAAGTCAGCCCAACTGGTCTGACTCCCCATCCCCAGCGAAATTCGAAACAGCGTTGAAACAGTCTTTCTGTTTCAACAGAATGGAACGGAACAGCTGTTTCAACTCGAAATGAAGTTCAATATGAAACACTGTTCCGTCGAACTGTCGAAACTCAAGGCAAAACGGAACGGTGCCGTTTCGCGCAGCCCTGTTAGTTACTACAAGGAAGGATCTTTTTTCCTTCATTTTGGCTTTCCAAAATAAGGTGTGCATTTTATTCTGGGGTGTATTGTATGTGAGAAAATATGGCAACTACAGAGGTGGAGGAGATAGGTGTGGTCCAGTTAGGCAATGTGTATAGATGTTGTGAGGTTTCGTGGGGTTTTTTTGATCCTCATTTAATATATTGTACAATCTCTAGCATGTTGCATAAACCAGAAGGTATAATATGCGCTTATTTTATTTTTTTGTCTTTCAGCCTCCAGACGAGTACTGTCTAATATGGATAACATCTGATATCATTTCATTTACCATAATTGTAGGAGTTTTTATATTCCAGAAGTAAGTAAAATTGTTACAGGTCAGCTTTCATGTATTTGTGGTGCGTGCGCTCAGTTTAAGATTGTGGGCTAGAGATGAGAAAAGCACAGTATTCGCAAAATGCTTGGTTTTAGGACACTGGTCATTTGTGGAGTTTTTTTTTTAAAAAGAATTTCTCTTCCTTCCTCCTTCAGCATTCAGTTGAGTGATGTTACTATAAGGGTATGAAGATGCTTAAGAAGAGTAAGGAGTCCTGAAAAACAGCGGTGATAATATGGCTTTTGCTTGGGGCACCTAGAAAAGGGACCATCAATGCTTTGGGGAAATAAATGCAAATAAGTTTTATTTTGGAAGAAGAGAAAGAAGGTTTGGCAGAAAGTTTGAAATTGTTGCGACCTAACTGCTCACACAGCAGTTTTTGCACTAGTTAGTTTGAGTGGGGTTTCCTCAATTTTCTCTGAAGAAGAGAGGGGAGGATGACATTGAGTAATGACGCTTCTCTGAAGATAGCATAGCAATGGTTGCTTGTGATGTCTTGGTCTGAGGGGCAAACATCCTCATTAATCATCAAAACCAACAAAGAATATAATTCAGTACTTCCATATGCTCCTAGGGTTCAGATTTAATTTTTTGGCAGGTTGCAGGTAAATCGGCAGTGACGTGACTTCCTAATAACTGTTCCAGGGGAATCTCTCTAGAATACGTTTTTGGGTTGTGTTTGTGACAGCATTACCAAGCTGCTCTCCTTCTGGTTGAGCTATGGCATCTCTCCTGAAATTTGCCTTTCCTCCCAAGAGAGATGTTTTATGGCCAGCTATGACAGTGTTTTTACCCTTTTTAAGAACTTGAACTCAGAAATAACTGGAGAGAATTGCAGCATCCTCCTAGAGAAATGTGAAGCTTTGTCCACTTCTCTTCTCTTCTGGTTTTTTTGTTTTTTTTTAACTTTGTAACTGCCTCTTGCTTTGGCACATTTAAAGCACCATGGGCCCAGGTACTGACTGGCGTGCAATTTCCTCCTTCATTGGTTCACAAATGTCTGAGCCTTAGGCCCAGCAGTGTCACATGAAACATCCGCTTCAGCTTCATGAGCTAGCAATTTCGCTGTCACGTTGCCCTGACTCATTTGCTTTGCAGCTAATTCCCCAAGTGTGGATAATTTCCTTGGTATTTTTGTAATGAGTTACAATAGAGTGCAGCTGCTGAGACCATCACTTACTGATTGGATTCCCTGCCAGATGCTAGACCTGTTGTACCTATTCCGCTGTCTGCAATTTTGCCATCCTCTGAATCTGGCAACCAACTTCCATGCCTTGTATCAATTCAAAGTAACAAAGTTATGCCAGCAACGAGTTTGGTCTGTTGACTTCAATATGGTGGCAGAAGTACAACTGATAAAGTACTGGGTTTGATATCTCCACATAACACTAAGCACTTTTCCAATAATGTAATTAAATGAAACCAAAAATCAATCTGCAAAGTGATTCCATTTTGGGTATACTTTAGACCTAAAGAGCTGAGTCTTTGAGGCCAGAAAGAATCCTTTATAGTCAACATAGTCCAAGCCAGAGAGGAATTTCATCCGGGATAAACTTAAGCAAATAATTCAAGTAAAACCCTTAACCCAAGAATAATGCCAAATAGGGAAACATGCTGACTGCTCTGGATGGACGATGGACATATGTCTTGCTCTTCATATCAGGAGTGTAATTTCAAGGCAATAGTGACAGTCATTTGATTGTCTGTCTTTAATTCAGTTTTTCAGCATTTTCTCTGAATCCCGTCTACACGTGCAGGGAGCCTGGTCCAATGCACTGGTAATCCAGTGCATTAGAGCAGACCCGATTAATTGAGTCTGCTGGAGCACGGAAATCAGTGCACTCTGGCAGCCTTCCATGTCATGTGTATCAGCGTCCCTGTGCGTCCCCGCGCTGAAAATATGGTGGCGAGGCACTTTTACATAAAACATGTTCGATGAGCTTTAGTTCAAAGTGCCCCACTGTCATTTTTTCAGTGTGGGGACACATGGGGACACTGACGCATGTGACGTGCAGGCACTTTTAATTAGCACGGCTAACTAATTAAAGCACCCAGCGCCACGTCCCAGAGCATGTGTAAAAATGCTCTAAAAGTCTGCATGTTAAATGAAGAAGCTTTCAAATTTGTTAATCCGTGTGAGCTACATGTCTACAAATGGGTTCATTTAGGCTTTTAACCCAGACTGCTGAGATCCCAGGGAGATGGGATTAGCTTCCAGAAACAGGACTCTACAATATCTAGATTTCCCCATGGATTTTTTTTCTCTGAATCTTCACATAGATTTAACTGCTTTAAATTTGGGAGTATATTGATGAAAAGAAGAAAGGAGAATGTCAGGAGTGGAAATGGATGGGAAGGGAATGGAAAGACTGTAGCAACAGGGGAGGAAAAAAGGTTTTGAGGGAGTGGTAGAAATGTTCTGTGTACAGCTTCTAGTGTACAGCTGCCATCCCAAGAAGCAGGTGGAGGTGAACAGAGCAGATGAACTAAGGGGATGTGGATAGGGCAGGGGTAGGCAAAATACAGCCCGCAGGCCAGATCTGGCCCACCAGGACATTTTACCTGGCCCGCACGGCCCCTACAAAATTTAGAAAATTAATATTTATCTGCTCCTGGCTGCCTGTCAAAGCTGACAGGAGCCAGGGGCAGTAGGACCTAGGGGGAGCTGGCAGCAGGACACAGCAGCCCAGCCCCGCCCCACCCCCAGGCATTTCCCTGCCTGTGCACTGCTCCAGCACTACATGGCTCCTGGCTGCATTGCTGGATTGTAGGAGCACAGGGCCATGCTGGTACCAGGAGCGGGGTGTTGTGTGTAGGGAGTGTGTGTCTGTTCATAGGATGAGTCCCACACGCACAACCCACCATACACATACACCCCCGGTTGCACTGCCATACACTCCTGTACCCATACCCTCCTCACATACTCCCGCCACCCTCCCCCCACACACATCACCCCCACGGACCCCATACCCATCCACACCTCACACATCCACACACACACCCACATTTGCCCTCACCTCACACCCACACCCCCCACACCTATCCACCCCCACAGACACACCCACACCCTCCCCCACACCCCACATACCCACAGCCCCTCACAAACCTATATGCACCCCCCAATAAACAAGAGTAAAACTTCATTTAAAGCTATTATATAATCCCCTCTGTGTACACTACACAAACGCATGTAAACCAGGACAAAAAATATTTAAAAAAATCAAATTAATGAATGTTTTAGAGGTTCTCTTTTTAGAACATAATTTAGTATTTTACTGGTTCCAAGATGGCAAAGCCCCTTGCTGAAAGGAGTACTTCTGGGGGCAAGGGGAGAGACTTTGGGTGGCAAAGGTCAGGGGCTAGGGGGCGGGGTTGCCAATCACAAGATGTCGACCAGGGGGTGGGGCACCTGTCAAGGGGCGGGACTACCCACGTGGCCCTTGACAGCTTGCCAAAACACGGTAAGCGGCCCTCCGCCTGAAATAATCGCCTGCCCCTGGGATAGGGCAAGAAAGGCATTAAAGGAACAGTGTGCAGCAAATCCCTGGGCCATCTGAATGTGAGGGTAAGAAGTGCTAAGACCTCGCTCCTGGTCTCAGAAGTACTTTTCGTGGCTGGAGGACTAGTTCAAAGTTGGTGGAAGTTGGGGAGGACTCCAGTGACACCCACTCTTACTTGAGTCTGAACTTGGATTCACTTCCTGGCCTACAAAGTGACAGAGCCCGCAGGGCAGAAGTACAGCTCCTGTGAGCCGTCTAGGCTCGCAGGGTCAATCAGTAAGTGGTGAGCTTGCACAGATTGCACGCTTATGGCACGGCACCAAATTGCACTCCAGGAAACAGCGCCAGGGATTCCACTTGCCATCACTGAAGTGAAGGATTTGCCCGTAGGGCCATTTTACGGGGACCTAAGAGCATCGCTTCCTTGCCGTTCCCTGCCTCATGGAAGCGTTGGTGCCGCATTTGGGACGTTCAGAAACCACCTGAATCATCCCGCGTGTCTGCTGAAATGATTCAGCTCCTGGGAAGGCAGGCTCAAAACCTGATGCTTGCCACGTTCCTGCGAGTCTCGCTGGGCCAAATGCATCCTCTTCCTTTGTGTAAGGATGAGGGCGCGGGTCGGAACGGAGCCACAGCGTAGGTGTTGCTCGCTCCACCCCTCCGCATGGCTTCCTTCGGTTCCCCGGTGGCAGCTCAGGGTTACTCGTGCTGTGACGAGACGCTGAGTGTTGGTGGCCCGGCTGGAGGGGAAATGCCGGCGGTGGTGACTTTTCTAACTGATCTTTTTTGCCTTCTTGCCTTGTTTAATTTCTTTACTGCTCTGACTGTTATGCATGTTCCTCCTCTTTCTCTCTCTTTCTCTGCTGCATTCTGGCATCTCACAGCTATCACATGATCAGGTAATTCTGGTGCTTTCCTCCTCCTCCTCCTCTTTCCATCCCACCCTCCTCTTTTTCTTTCTGCTAAGGCTTCACTGCAGAGAGATAATACAGGGAACACCGTGAAATGGTGCTTCATATCCCCCAACTCCACAAACAACCATGGCTACCATGGTGAAAGTCCGAATAGTAACTTAGAAGTCGCGACCACAAGGCCAAGTCCAGCTGGCTCTTCTAAAGACACTGATACTCTTCTCTAATGGTCCAAGCCGCTGCTATTTAAATTGTCTCTAAAATCCTGTAGTGTCTTATAATTGGGGAGCTCCCAATGAACACAGTGCTTTCCAACTGGAAAGTATCCTATTGTAAAATAACTCCTCATGTAGGTTATGTTTCCCCCAGGCTGAACTGCTCTATTTATTCCCTTCCAAATTAGCAAATGCAACTTTTTCCACTTTGGATCCACTGCTGAAGTTAGTTAATCCTCACTGCAAAATGAATTTCCCTGAGGCTGAACTTGAAAAGTGAGGAGAAGCCTTGTGGGGTACACAGGAGGTTTGTCTACACAGACCCTCGGGGAAGCTAACATGCCTTAAACTGAGGGGTGAAGTTGAGGCACGTATGTCTAAAGCAGGTTAAACCCCCACGTGAGTGATTTTGTATGGAGGTGAACTTTTAGCTCGTTAGTGAGGATTAAGCTCTACTCAGACGTTTGTTCCAGAATGGAGAGCCCGTCTGGAGTCTGACGCACTTTAATTTATGCCCATTGACTTCACACCTTTAGCCCCCTATGAAAGTTGGCTGAGAGTTGTGTGTCTCCATTAAAACCACATAACCGGGGGTCTGTAGTTACTCTGGATTTCCACACGTGTATCCAGGATCACGGGCTGGCTCGCTGGTGTGTTTTGCCGGCACTGTAAGTAATGCAAAGTCTCTGCTTTCTGAGATGAAACTTGGCATCATTATTTTCCCCAGATGGGCAAAGTACTGTGCTCACTTCTCATTATTTTCTTGGCAGTGGAAATACATTAGCAGGGCTAGCGGCTTCAAAGAATTGGCCACCAGCTCTTGAGGGGTCCTGAGTTTGGATCAGCACAAAACTCTCCGGGGGCGACTCCACCCAAATCCAGGACGTTGCACCGTATGACACTATAAATTAGATGCGAATCCAGATGGAGGGCCAATGGACCCAAGGGTCCCTAAACTCTGCCCTTGTATTGTTTTCATGGGCTATTTCTGTATTCCTTGACATCTGTATTCTTTCTGCAGTCAAGCCTTCATTCCTACTTATTTCTACATTTGAACGGAAGTCTTCATGTGTAATCTTCTCCATGCCTTTAGCTTTGAGCAGCAAGATTTGTATGACAGAGAAATGGCCTGCCCTGTGCCTGCTGTTCTGTTTCCCTTCCCTCGCATTGCAGGGCTTTCTGCCTGTAAGTACTGCCCCAGCCAGGGGAGGACTAAGCTCTGCTCTTTATGCAGTACTGCCTTGTACTCGGTACCTTGCTGGTTTTACCACTGTGTTGGTTTGTGTCCTCTGCTGGGGGCATTAAAACACAGGTGGGTCTTCCCTCTTCTCTCTCCTGCTTTGGGTGAGGGGACCGGAGAGAAGCCCCAGACAAAAACTCCAGCTGGTAGGAGCAGCCGCAGAAGGGATCGAAGCCAGGCCTTTTGGAAAACTCTGTTGCTACTGGATTTTCCCTGCCCTGCGCTGCTCAACTCTTTGTTGCCTGTCAGTCTTGTCACCCCACTTTCATCCCACACCTGTCCCGCTACCCTTCCTTTCTTCCTTTTTTATTCCATGTAGGTTATGCCTCCCGACTAATCCTCACCCCGCAAAATGCTCCCCCCTCCTCCCACTTTCCCAACTTGTTAAATTTAACATCGGTCGCTTCGTATGTTCTGCGCTCACCCCTTCCCGTGTGTTTGTGGTCTGTTTAGAGTGTAAGCTCTTTGGAGGAGAAGACACTATTTCATACAATGCCTAAAACATTGGGGGCCTGTTCTTGGTAGGCCTTTAGGCAATACCGTAAAAAAGTGCAACTCATCATCAGGATAGCCCAGGCGAGCTGTGGAGGGGTGTGAAACGCTTTCTCTGGGATTCTTGGCAGACAGCGTTTGAGATTCCCTATGCCTGAAGAAGGGTGACTGCGCCCAAAAGGTTGCTAAGAACTTTTTTCCAACTACTCAGTTGGTCTAATAAAAGATATCACATCTACTCAATGAACCCGGCCTGCTGACATCCTTAGACCAACATGGCTACAGCCAAAAACTCTGGGATTTTTGGAGGTTTTGGATTCCCATGAATAGTGAAAGCCCCTTGCTCAGCATGTCATCTGGAACTGAGATCAGAGTAATTATTGCTAAGACTCAATGCAAACCTACCTAAGCAAAAATGCTGGGATTTCTTTCGGTTTTTGTTTTTTTTTTTTAAGATAACTTGGATTTGTAGGAATTAACATATTCTTTCTTTGCCTTCTGTAACATTTAAACACGTCCTTTGCAACACTGGTTTTATAATAGGTCAGAATTGGAGTCAGATCAAACTTGCTCATACAACCCGATGGCCAGGTTTGGAGTCAAGAAGGAAATTCTCCTCCCAGGTTAGATGGGTGGAGAGAAAACTTCACGGGCTGTGGCTGCACGGAGGTTGAGAGGCTCCTGCCTTTTGACTAGAAAGTTAAGGCCCCTCCAGGCCTTTAATGCAGGGGGTCCCAAACTGTGGATTCCTGCGGGTGTGCAAGACCTATCTGGGGGGTATGTGGGAGAAATTGTGTAACGGTGGATTTAGTTTCCATTATAATAATAATAATTGGCATTTAAGAGGCTAAAAAATAAAACATATACTGGTAGGGGCACACAGGCAGCTGGTAAATTTGCAAGCGGGTATGCAATAAGAAAAGGTTTGGGAACCTCTGCTGTAGTGGATTGGACACCGATGGCATAAAGCCGTTCCTTCCAGGTCAGTGAACAGCCGTGCTCGAACCCGTGAGCAAGGAAGGTGGCACTCCTGAGGCTATTGTTGGTGGACAATGTTCAGCTCCAGCCTGACTCGACCTTCTCTTGCCTCATCCATGTCGCTCCTCTGTGTGCCTTTGTCCCATCCATCCAATATAGCTTCGTCCATCACACGCTTCTCCCCGCTTCCTTGTAAGGAGTTGTCTCCTTCATCTAAAGCCTGGTCAACCCTCATTGTACCATATGTTATAAAGAAACACCAACGTGTGTAGGGACTCCCTGGAGTCCCTGTGAGCCAGATTTCTACCTAACTGGTCCCTAAACCTTTGGCGTGTGTTTAATGTGCTGTGCCTGACTCCCCTGAAGAGCCTCAGCAGCTTGCGGGAAGTACTAAATGCCTCCTCCCAAGCTCTTCCAGTAAGTATGCAGTACCACTGGTTTCCCTTGATGGTCCGCTGGGTGGCACCAGACACTTGGAAATGCACCAAGCGTCTTCCCAAACCTGATTCTCTGCCCTGCTCCTGTTATTTGGTAGAAGAGTCATGCAAAGTTACTGATATTTCAAATTACCATGTAAAAAAAGGGGAAGGGGGGACTGGCTGAGAGCTAAAAGGTAAACCATTATATACCTCCTCCTTACTAGCAAAATTTGGGGTGCTGATCGGTGGGAATTATAGCCACTTGTCCAAGAGCACCATTTCAACTTACAGATAGGGTGTGGAAGGTGAAAGTGTCACTTTGCTAAGCTCCCCTATATCTGGATTTCTGCCCTGAGTATTAGCTCGGCAGCTGGCTTGTTAGAAACACTGGCAAGATGTTTGCTACAGGAAAGGCTGTTGGACGTAAATGCTGGTTCTAGAGAGGGGTATAATAGAAAAGGAAGTTTTGCTCCAAATAGCATCACCCTTCCCGGTCCAGCAGGCGCTTGAATGAGAAATAGCAGGAAAAAGTTACAGCTTGCAAGCCTCGCAGAGGATTCAGCTTGGATCAAGGCCCCATTGTGCAAGGCGCTGTATGTGCTTGTTGCAGAAGACAAGCCAAAGGACAGTACGGGAAGCACGAATGGAAAGGCGGATGAAGGTCAATGTGAGGTCTGACACTAGAAACCTGGTTTCCTGCTGCTGGGATGGTGCCATCGACTGCCCCACGTAGGTCGAGTCAAATGCTTCAACCTTGATAGGGATGACGGATCCAGTAGCTCTGAGATGTCATTATTCAACCTTTAAAGGGACTGTCCCAGCCTGAAAAACCCACACAACTAAAAGAAAAAAAAACCTGTGCCAGCATTAATATTGATCCCTTAGGATTGTTCTCAAACTGCTCCTCAGATCCCTGCCAGTCCTTCAGCCCGTGGTAGGTGAGCTGCAGAGCTTTTCTGTGGTTTTCACTGACTTGTTAACAAGGCTGCATGGTGTTTGCAAGGGATTTTGAGGGGTGACAGTGGCCTGTGAGGCCCCTTCCCCTCCACCCCCCACATTTGAGAACCACTGCTTTAAATTATTAAGCAATTTCCTCCCCCGCTTCTCCGACATACTTTTCACGATGCTATTTACATTTACTCTGGATACTGCAAACAGACCTAGATGTTTTATCATTCGTGCTTCAGTTCCCTGGCTGGTTCCTGCCGGTCACCCAATGTGGCAGAAACTTCAGAGGAATGTTTAAAATGTTTAATTTCACTAGTTTTATTTATTCCACCTTATCCGGCAGCCTCCCTCTGTTTCAAGCATTCATCACTCACGGGACTGAATCGCAGCAGTTCCTGCTGTCTTATTCATCCCTACATCTCAGACCTTCTCTTCCACGTTGCATATGATTCACAAAGACATTGAGTTACGAGAGCAGGGTTTTTTTCAACAAGGATTGCAAGCTTGGGAAGGGACACAGATCCTTATTGTCACAAGGCATAACTCTGATTAACAAGGTTTTCCCGGGGACAAGTGGCTCTGCAACTACACTTTGGGTTTTCTTGCTTCTGTCTTTGAAGCAGCTGGAACTGATGCCTCGTTGAGGTGTTTCTCTGATCTGTTTGGGAATATTTGTTACTGTTGGGCACTTTAATCCTGTAACATGTCTGTATAAATACAACACAGAGAAAAGGCGACGGTAGCCTTGCAGAAATGGTGTCAACTTTTTTTTTCTTTCTTTTTTTTGCATCTGATCGCTTTGTTCCCATCAGAGGAGCAGGAGCCAACTTGTTCCAACTCAGCAACCTAAATTTAGGCACCTTATTAGGCATGGAAACCAATTACCTCTAGTTGCACCAAACCTTATTGTATCTATGGGGTGAGGTGGCCTGTGTGTTTGTCAGAGGCTGGTGGCTTAGGAAGTGTTTTCCATTTGGGGATGGTCCTTTACATCTCTCTCTTCTGTTGCAGATGGCGGCTAGGAAGCATACGGACCTATAACCCCGAGCAAATCATGCTCAGTGCTGCTGTTCGCAGGTCCAGTCGGGATGTCAAAATCATGAAGGAGAAACTGATCTTTTCTGGTACGTTCGTTGGAGGGAGAAAGCCCAGAAGGTCGGGAAATAAAGCGAGGGCAAGGCGGACAAGTTTTGCTCCTCTGTTGCTCATAGTTAGACCAGGGAGCTTTTTGATCCGGGCCCTCTCTGGTGCCAAATGGTGCACCACATGCACCTGTTGTCCTGGATAATCGTGGCAATAGTGCTTCAATGTAAGCTGACATCTCAGTGGTGCATCATCTAACCTGGCTGAAGAGGACAGCTGGGAGCAGGGGAAGAATGGACAACTCTTCTGAACTGGTCCTGAGCTTTGACTGCAGACTTGCTGGGATCCGGAGACCACAAACAATCCAAGTCATCTCTCAGGCACCTGCCACATGTTGCACTTAAGACACGATTAACTGCTTAACCATGTCTGAAGTTGACCCAGCTATACAGTAAAGCAATTAAGCCACAAAGTTAGTCCACAAAAAAATGTGAAATAACTTTGTGGCTGGTTCCTGTCATTAATTGAACATGTGGCCCGGTGCACCCCCATGGCCCCAGATGTGGGAGGCACCAGGTGCTCTAGGGACTGAGAGGCCCTTTACATGATGGAGCCTGCAAGCAATAGGCTGTCCCAGCCACAGGAGCTCACCATTTGCCCCCACAGATGGGAACCCTGGATCAGCTGACGGGGCTCCCAGCTGCAGGAGCTTGCTACTTGCTGGTGCAAAGGGAACTCAGGATCATGATCCCAGGCTTTCCCTGCACTGGTAATACGGCATGATGGGATTTGATGCTCAATCCCACCATCATGCCTCCTGCCACACACTTGTGAAATGGTAGGAAGTGCAGTTGTGTGAACTGTGCATGAGATCCTGTCGTGCCTTTACTTGCACATCTGGCAGGGGCCTTTGGTCTGATCTGGAGCATGCCACCAGGAAGAAAACAAGCCTGTAGTTCTACCTTATGCATGACCACAGCAATGCATGTGGCTGTCAGGCTCACAGGATTTGGACAATAGGGAAGCACAACAATATTCTGTTGGAAACAGCAGGGAACTCGGGGTGCAGGTCCTTAGCAGATGTAATTCAGCATAGCATCTATTCGGGCAATGCTCGGCCAACTTGACCCTTGGGGTTCCCCTGACCCCCAGTTATCTTCCCTGCTTGGTGCAGGGGGCTGGATCTGATAATCTTCCGAGGTCCCTTCCAAGCCTTACAATCTATGAAGCTATGAAACGTCTCATGGGGCAAAGCAAAGAGATTTCAAGCGTCTACCAAACTGCTAGGTTTCCTGCCTTTGTTAGTATTCTAGTTGCTTTAGCCATAGATCAGGCCCCCCTGAGCTGGCTGCTGCATGAATGAAGAACTAAACGATTGTCCTTGCTGTAATGGCAGAGAAAGACCAATGCGGGAACTCAGGCTGACAACTCTATGGCAGAGGTCAGCAGGACCGGCAACGGTTTCAGGACCCCAGCAGCTAAATTCTTGCCAAGCGTCCTTGTGGGCAGCGCAGCAAAGGGTGGGATTGAGGAGAGATTTGAAGGGAGGGTATTCGACTGGAAACTTTAGTACTCCCATGAGTTGCCCAGTTGGTGTTGCTTTATAGTGAGATCACAGAGTGGAGGGTGCCAGAGTAGCCATGTTCAGTAGGAGCTTGTGATGGTGCAGAGCTGGGGAGGTGGGGAAGAGAAAGAAGTAAGCATGAAGCTGTGGACTGGACTGGACTCTTGCTAGGGCTATGTCTGCCAAGCAAGGTGAAGGCATCTCTGGTTGCAAGCGAGTGCAGGTAAGAATAGCCGGGAAGATGCTTTTGCATTTGCTAGCAGCCACAGTACGTTCCTAGGGGCCTGGGAGAGTGCGTGCTGTGGTCCCTAGCATATGTGAAAGCTTTCCTTTTGCCCTGTAGGGTCTGCCTGATGCCCCCACCTTGAAGGCGGGTGCTCTCTGCCATGCCGATAGTCACGGGATTCATGACCTAATGGATCTCTCTCCCTCGCTAAGCATCTTTTCCCCTCGCTAACTTGTTTGAGAATCTGAGCCGATTGCCTCTTTCAACCTTGCTTCATGTGAGGCTCTTTGCACTGTCTTGCAGGTTCTACCGTCTGAAGTCTGCCTGATTCACTGACAAAATTTCTTGTTGGCTTTTTTTTTTTTCTTTTATCTTTTTTTTTTTTTTTTTCCAAAAGACTCTAGTCGTTACAAGGTAAAACTGCAGAGAGCTGAAAAGCACGGGTCACTGGTTGGCACCAGTATGGGTGAAGGCTTCTGTGGGAACTGTAGGCATCATGGGTCTGCGGGCTACTAACTGCTTAGGGCACGCTGGTTTTTCCTTCCTCTAAAAACCTTTCCGGCTGATGCATATGGCTTCTAGCAGGGGGCGTACTTACCACACCACTGTCCGCTTGGTAAGGAAACAGGGTTTGTGCTAAGGGAAGACTTTTAGCTTTGAAAGATCCAAGCTGATGCATTTACATTCTTCCAAATTGTGTGGATAATCTCTCCTTGCGCAAAGGACATGCATACTAACATCTGTGCTCCTGGGAGATGACTAAATTATGGGGCTAATTATGCTCTCCCATTCAGTGGTGCAAATGAATCCCGTGGACTCCCCTCCAAATTTAGTGACATGAAAACAAATGCTGGTCAGGTCAGGCTGACGTTCCAGCTGTTCTCTTCACATTGCACATATTAAGAGGTAGAGGTAAAATACATTGTCATGATTTGTGCCTGTGAAGGAGGAAAAATGATGAAGACCAGCACCAACAATGAAAAGCATCACAGAATGGGCTGTTTCATTCAGCAAAACCAGCAAGTCCTGGGAGTATCTCTGTTTCCAGCACAAAGACAGGCAGGTCCATTGGGTTAAAATCTGAACTAGTGGAAATTGCACTCAAAACTCACCTCTTCCTTATTGTAAGCGCCTACTGCAGTGTCGGTGGCTCCAGTTCAGCTGTTCACACTGGAAGGATTGTCTAGTGGGCAGCATTAGGCTTTGGGATTTGTAGACAAAAAAGGGGTATCAATCTCGTTTTGTTTATCCTGGTATAAAATGGGAGTCATTTTATTTCGGCGGTGGCCCATCCGTGGAGAGCCACCAGCAGGCTAGCATTAAGAGAGACGTTTGCTGGAAGCTGTACCGCTGACTTGCTGGTTTTTGGGCAGGTCGCTCTGTGCTTCTGCCTGTAAAAATAGGAGACCCTTAGGGACTGATCCTCTGAAGCCCTAAGGCACTTCTTCTGTGAGATCCAGCGTACTTTTGATTCACACACCTTGGTAGATCGGTCACGGCAAGCGGGGCATGTCCACGTGGTGCATTGGTGGAGGGGACTCTGGTCATCGGCCGCAGACCTTCATTTTCCTCTGTCTTCCACAGAAATCAACAACGGAGGGGAGAATACGGACGAGCTGTCGCTGTGCTCTGAAAACGGCTACTCCAACGAGGTTGTCACCCCCATGGACCATCGGGACATGAAGCTGCGCATGGACTGAGGAACTGGAAAGGAAACCCAATGGCACAACAATAAACCCTGCCGTTCTTGTTGCAATGAGTGGCGTTGGCTCTCTTCCGAACCCAATGGCATGGGGACCCTTCTGGAACTACTGAATGTGTGGACATCCTCCCCTTCTCTGGTCACTGGCTCCCCATGCCTCTCTGGACTGCGTGGTCGGGGAGGGGCTTTGTGTACATATGTAGAAAGTCCAATTTTTTTGTCCTTTTTCTTGTATTTTTGGAGATTGTATGCATTTCTTTTAGTGCACAAGCGGACATAACGTGCCCACGAAAAATGTCGGCATTTTGGCCAAAGCTGATGACAAATTTTGAAGTGACGGCCTGGACGTTGGGGTAGGCAGGTGGAGTGTCCCACAACCCCCCTCCCACTCCCCTCGATGTGGCGATTGTGTAGCTGACCTTGTTTAAAAGTGTATGTCGTGACGTTCTTGTGAAGTGTCCCTTTCTTTTTCTGGGTAATGCCGTTTTCAGCTGAATTTCATAGAAGACCGGTCAGAGAGAGACCGGTCTTCTCCTAGCAGAGGAGACGGTGCTGCCCCCAGGCAGCCTTCAGGGGCAGAGGAAGGCAATGGCTTAATTGCTTTCCTGCTTCCCTGGAGCAGTAGGAAGTGCTCGAGGTTAAGCTGTTGATGGGCTTTCAAGCTAATGCCACTGTCCTTACCCCGACCTAAATGAAGACAGTAGTCACCCATAATTGGCAGGAAACCTCCTACTACTATGAAGAGCCTGGTACCAGGCCATTTTAAGGAGGTGCCACCTGCTGCCAATCCAATGCCTGCCAGTGTAAAGATATTATGCATTGCCCCATAATCCCCTTTCCTGGCACCAGATAGTAAGGGGCCTCGCTCCCGCATTTCTCCATCACAGAGGCAAGTTGCTGTGCGGGGGTGAGGAAATCTGGTTTATAAATGGGCAAATGTGAAGTTGGTCCAAGGGAGTCACTTATTTAACCAAGGGGACGTTCTCCTTATTCTGCAATAAATGTTTACAGATTACAGGTTTAATTTCCTCCAAAGGAGTCCGCTGCAGAAACAACTGAAATGCCCACACAGAAAATCCTGTGCTAAAATAAAAGGGAAAAAATGGCCAGACATGGTGTGCATCAAAGATGCATTTATTTTTCTCTTCCAAAGTATTTTCCCACCCCTCGCTCCCTCCTGTTCCTTCTTTTTCCACACATTGCAACTGGGCCATGACAACAAATGTGCATCTGCATTTTGCCGGTTTTTGGGCTGCAAGAAATAGTTGGCAGCTCTTCCCTCTCTTGGCCTCATGGGGAGGACTCTTGCTTGTGGCTGGTCCCAAAGCCAGTTGAAGCCTGACAGAGTCCACCAATTCTTGGTAGCGTTTGTAACTTCAGGACACATGTACATTAGCACCTAAGGGCACCGGCAGGAAACGGGCTCAGCCCTTGCTTTGCTTCTGTGCATGCCAACAGCCAGAAATGACACCGAGGGCCGCTCTACAGCAGCTACGTTGCCTCACTTCCAGGACATGGTGCATATGAACCCAAAGGATATGTGCAGGGCCTGGTTCACGGTGATGCTCCTGGCTGGGCACTCAAGTGATGCGTAGACAACCAACCCCTTTGTTCTGGATAACACAAGAAACATGGAGGGTAAGAAATGCCAGTGATCACCGGCTGCCTTGCAAGCCCAGCAAACACTGCCGTGAAGACCATTTGGGTGTGAAATCTGTCCCCTGGGGAGGGATCTGAGTCATGTCTTCAAAGGACAAAATGGGATTTCTTCCTACTGTCCTACCTGGCATCACCCTTGTTAAACAGAGAGCAATCTGCCATAGGTGCTGTACGGTCATAGGATGGAGATCTTTGAAGTGGCTTTATCACATCATGAGAGCAGCAAGATTTTTCTTGAAGCTGGTTTTTGCAATGATTTTTAAAACATAGCGGTTCCCCAACAGCTTTAGACCCCAAATCCCAACCTGGAGCATAAGACCTGGGAAACAAACCTGACCGGAAGGTAAAGCTGATGATACAACTGAATGAAGTGGAAGGGGGAAAAAATTAAGAAACTAACCCCGGGAGTGGATGGAAAAACATTCTTGGATTTTTATTTTTATTTTTTTTGGTTTGAAAATTAAATGTGCTATTTGTAACCCTAAGAATGAAACCTATTATAATCTGTGTCTTAAGACAGCTTTCAAAAATGCAAGGCCAGACTCTTGGTTGCTGCTGTGATCGTTTTACTTTGGATTTAAACCTATTGGAGTTTAATCTGGGTTTCTCCCAGTGTAGATGTGGATCAGCACGTGACCCAGTCAGTGTATTGCCCCCTGCTGTGCTGTCTTTTATTCGGTGCTCTCTCCCGCTGATGAAATCAGATGGTTTTTTTGCAGACTGGGGGGGGAAAAACACATCTGTGCTGTTGGCCCGAAGCCTTCTGAGAAGAGCTGCAGTCGTGGGGCTGTTTTTTGAACCGTTCCCGGCTGCACTTGGTAGCCCCTGAGAGACTCTTTTACATCTCGCTATCTGCGGACGATCACCTGCACGTCCACACCCTGACCTCGGAGTCGGCTTTGTTGAAAGAGCAGATGCTCAACAGCCTGGAAGGGTTGGAAGAAACCTAGTAAGACCTTGTCGACTCGCAACACACACTTCTTGCTAAGAGACTCAAACCTTTCTGGTTCTGCCGTGATGACCGCTGTCATCCTGCCAATTGACTCCCAAAACCAATATGCGTTTGCAGTGAAAAGGGGTCTAGACCAAAATCAGTCCCACAGTCCTCTGTGAAATAAAATGTCAGTATTTCTCTGCTACTATATTGTCTGAGCTATATTACCTGCGGCGTGGGAGGTGGCAGGGAAGGGCCTAATTGTAGTGGGTTACTATGGGAGTTTTGGGGGGGACTGAAAGGCTTGAAAGGGGATCTTTCAAAAGCTGGGGTTTCACCGGCCATCTAGCTAAGGTGGTTCGTGTGATCCAGGCTACCTAAGACGTCCGTCAGGGCTTGACCATGGCATGGTGGGGAGAGTTGGGGGGTGGGAGATGGACGAGCGCATCCATTAATGCAGGGGAGAATCTTTTGTGGCTGCCGTCCCGTCCCATCCTGACACATGGCTCACCTTTTTCTTGGCCTATAGACAACTGGAGCAGTCGCATCCACTGATCAGATGCCAGAGCCCCCGGGTGTTGCTTAGCTTTCCCCATCCCCTCCCTTTTTCTGATATTTTTGAAATCTTCCCCAGAATCAAGAGGATTGCACCCCCCGGTGCCGAGCGCTCAGCTGCAGCGCTCAGAAGTGATCTCAACCAAACAAATAGCAGTATGCCCTAAAAGTGAGCCAGAGATATATCCTATAACACACCCAATTATTTGTATTGCAAGGATTCAATCTGAGAACAAAAGCCTGCAGTGCAGGGGCTGTATGTACCCAATAAAAAGATGATCTCTGCTCTGTCATTTCCAATCAAAGCACTCAATTATGCAACTCGTGACGACCTGCAAAAGGGGTGTCATGGCATACATGACTTAGGTTCTTCCTGAGGCATGTAAAAAAAGAACTGAAAGGCATATTTTCCTCCCCCTCACTGAAAATGTCAGCTCGTTTTTCCCTAGGAGGCTCTAGGGAGGCCTGAAGAATTGTAGGATTGACCTTGCAAACACCAAGCATGTATGTCAGGAGTATCAGAGGGAGACGTTTCTGTCCAAACAGCTTAACTTTGTGCATTGGGGGGGGGGTTAACATGTTGAATTCAACTGCCTGAAAAATTATTGGGGGTCAGGACACGAGCTTTTCTCCTCTTTATTATGAAAGCCTAATATTAGAGAGCTTGTTAACTCGCACGTTAGATGCCACTTGTCCTAGTCTCTAGGGTGAACTGCAATGAGCTAACGACTGTCCTTGATGGCATTAAGTGCCTGGTTTCATAGTTCAAGGCCAGGAGGCCCCGTTAGATCATGTAGTCTGACCTCCTATATATTTAAGGCCATTAAATGCAACCTACTATTGAATCAAGGCCATGTGTCCGACTAAAACATGTCTGCAAAGCAACTGGGCCAGTAAAGCCTACCCGTGGGGTCTGCGGAGCTCATTGCCAAGTGGGCTGATGCTGGCTGGGGAACCGTGGCTGGAAACAAAACTCTGACTCAAAGCGGATGAGAAATGTCACTAATATCCTGGTTGCCCTCGCCCACGGCAATTCCCCAAAATGACACGGCCTGTGAGAGCGTGCCTAGGCCGTATAGCGCCGATGCTCTGATGGGTCTTTAAGACAACGGGCATGTTGCAGGGGACCATGCCAGGGTCCAGAGGCCTCGGAGGAAGCCCTGACCCTGCCATTTGATATCTCCCCTGGCCCATGAGGAAGCCCTCGGAGGCACCAAGGGCTAATTCCCCCTTCTGGCCTGTTCTCCTTGACAGATATTAATTGCTTCTCTCTAACGACGGGAGCTGCACTCCCTCCCTTACCAGTGCAGCTCCTGCTCTGATGCCTGCCAGCGCCACCTCGGCTCCTGTTTATTTATCTGCTTAGCGCAGTCTTCACAGGGACCCGGCGACTCCATCAAATGACTCGCTCCACCTGGACCCCAATTTGCTCTCCAGATGGCTCCTCTCTGCTAAGCCGCCCCTCCGTTATGTTTTCTGAGCACCGATGGCTTGGTCCCCCCCGCTTCTGCTGGGGTCTGCCCCTCCCTGGTGGGCTATAATTGACAGCTGCTGCTAAGGCCCCGCAGCCCCGAGGCACAGTCATGCGGCGGGAACAAAAGCAGATGTCTGCCCCCCCACCTCTCCCTGACTCTGGATAAAGGGATGCATTTGTGCTTCCCCCAGCATTGCTGGAGAAGGGCCGGTCTGTGCTTTCTAGGGGGCTTGGCTCCATGCAGCCTTGGAGAGCGCTGTAGCAAAGGAAAACCCGGTGGAGGGGGAGCGGAGCTGCGGCGTCGCTAGATCTGCATGGAAGGGCACGACTTGCGGTCCAGGTAAGGGCCTCTGCCTTGCAGGTGATGCTGGTGCCCAGGTGTGTCAATGATGGAGCGGCAAGAGAAGAGCCGCTTGCCCTCTAATAGCACCTGAGGTTGCTTAGGAGAAGTGGATAGTTGGGTGCAAGGCAGGGGGTGGTCTCTGTGCATCAGCTGGAGGGGTCACAGCCCAGACTTGCAGCTTGGGACCAGGTTCAGGTCAGGGAGCAGCCCACACCTGTGCTGTTTGCAATGCCGCAGGATGCCGGAGGGAGGATGTTCTTTGTTTAACGTGGCTCACCACAAACTTAGGTCACTGCACTTGCTGGTGTTGTGTGGATGAAAGGTTATTTATTAGGAATGCTCCACACTTCTCTTCCACTCCTGTAACCCAAGTGACCTCAGTCCTGTGGCTCTCACCAGTCCCATATCGTCACAACGCTAGGGCAGGGCTGTGTTATCCCCATGTGACACATAAATCGAGGCTCAAGTGATTTGCCTAAGGTCACACACACAACCAGTGTCAGAGGTGGGAGCTGGACCTGCGTTTGCTTGGTCCCAGTCCAAAGCTGTACCTGCTAAAGCTTCCTTACTCTCCACCAGCTGCTCTCTGGTTCTTCCAGGGTCATAAGTGAAAGCAGAGCCCACCTGCTCGCAGTGGCCGCAGTCCCCTGACAGCACGTGAACCGGGGACTGAACTGTTCAGCTTTGCAGTTCGAGAAGCCCAGAGATGCGAGATTTTGTTTTGTGGATGCTCATCGGGAAAAACCTGAGAAGGCTTTCAAATGGTCTTGGGAATGAACCTAAAGCAAAGGGATTTTGCTGCCATGGCATATATTTTTTGTAGAGGAAGGATCTTTTTTTACACATGCACAAACCCATCTTTTTGGGGGCCATTTGAATGCCAGACTTTTTGCAAAGTCATTTGGATTTTTCTGCTTTTTAAAAACTTTTTTTTCAGGCATTTTTCCACTTCCATTTTTAGGAACCATTTAAAAAAAATGTTTTGACCCCCCTGTTGCCCATGTTGCCAGTTTTTTTAATTCTGTTTCAGATTGTGATGGATTTTTTTTTTCCCAACTCGTGAGATCTAACTTGTAGAGACTGCAACAACTCTGATTTTTTGGTGGGGACAATGTCTATCATAAGCTGAGTGGCTTTGAGTTTTACATGAGAATTCACTCAATACTTAGTGATACAACCCCCTCTCCAGAATTTGAGCCTGTTTTTCCTCAAGTGCGTACCGATTTGTAATATTTCTGTACAGATTGGCCAATCTGATCACCCTGTCTGGCCTGCAGGACAAGCCCTGGGATGTCACTCGGCAAGTTGTAGGCTCGATTGAGAGCAGTCGCTTGCAGAAACAGACTCCACCTTGATAGTGGAGTCGGAGACAGGACATTGTCTATACTGTAAGAACGTAAGACCTGCTATTTACTGGGTCAGACCATAGGTCCTTTTTGCCCAGTCTCCTGTGTCACGGGGCAGAAAGTGGATGCTGAAAGGGAGAGCGAACTGGGGATGACCAGGGTTTTTTTCCACTGCTCCTCTCTCACTTGCAGCCTCCAGCATTTAAGGTCTAGGAAGTTGTGATTCAGAGGCTGTATCTGTAATTCCCTTTCTCAACAGTAACTGATGTCCCTTTTCTTCCAAGTATGTGTTTGATCCTTTTGTAGATCTGGCTGAATTGTCAGCTTTCACCGCACCTGGACACAAGTTCCCCCCTTGAATGACACGGGGGGTGCATCTACATGAGACTCTAACTGCACAGTAGCCTAGTAAGACTGCAAGGTAGTGTGTCGGGCTAAATCCATGCTAACACACTGCTTCACAGTAGTCTCAGGCTCCAATGAAGTTAGCATCCCAACAAACCCGTGCGCCGGCACTGCTGCACAGTAGCTCAGTAGTGCAAGTTACTATGCTCGATTTAGTACTTGGATATCCAAGTACTAAACTTAATGCGCAGTAAGTATGGCACATGAACCAACACGTAGACGCGCCCACTGTGGGGAAAAGAACCTCCTTTTGCTAGTTCTAAACTGACTGCCCGCTTGTTTCCGTTTGTGACCCCTGATTGTTGCCCGATGAGAGAGAGCAAGTAATAAATCCCTATTGACTTTCTCTTCGCTGGTTAGTATTTTGTAGACCCGCAAGCAACTCTTCTCTAAACTGAACCTCTTTAGTGTCTCCTCATATGGGAGCCCCTCCATACCACGAATCATCCTTGCTGCCCTTCTCTGACCCTTCTTTAGTTCTTCCATGTCCTTTTGATACAGGATGCTGTATTGCCCAGTGAGCCCTGCCCTGTCCAGGACCCAGGACTGAGTACTAAGCGTTCGGGAACGTACCGTGCTTCTTGGACAGCCGTGCTTTGAGGCTGTTCTGCGTAAAGTGCTCCTCCGCTCACTTGAATTCATTTGAAGCCTGCACTGGAACAGCTTATTGAGAGCACTTAAGCTCATTATTGTTCCCTTGAGAGCAAACTGTCAAGCTGCCAAGGAGGGAAGTATTGGCTTGGCAGCAGTGCCGTGCTGGGGACCTGGGCTCTCTTCCCCTGGCGCTGGTTTGCTGGGTGACTTTGGTGTGTCACTGCCTCTCTCCGTGTCTGTTGCCCCTCCTGTCACATGGAGTAAAGGTCCCAATGTCCTTTACAAAGCCCTTTGGCATCTACTCAATACTATGATATAATGACAAGATCTCATTAATGAATATTTATCAGCGTACACGGTGCGTCTGACGGTTTCTCCTTCTAGCAGCCAGTCCCAGTGCCGGTGTGAGCTGGCGGGTGCCTTTGGCTCATGTGACGTGGCCTTGAGCATGTGGTGTGGGACGTTGTCCCACGTGGATGTCCAATGCTATCTTTGGGCATCTAAATTAGCCATGAGCAGTCAGCTCACACCCTGGAGAGCAGATCCCCCCAGATCCACCCCTATACTGTGCTGTTCAGAGGGGCTGAAGACCTCACCAAAGGGCAGGTGTGGGCCGGGTTGGTTTGAAACGGTCTGAGCATAAAGGCAGGTTATGAATCTCCTTTTACACCCCTGGGGCTTTGCTTTAGCAAATGCAGACAGGTTGACCTGTATGGCTCCCTGCCAGCTCTGTTTTGCTACAATCCTACAAAATAGTCGGTGGGAGCAAAGAGACTGGTTAATTCCTAGTGCGAGTTGTAGCAACGGGGCCCCAGAGAATGAAGTGGCAATTAACAAGCACTGTCACACCCATCACCAGGCATCTTCATTGCCTGCTGAGAGACCAAAGACTGAAAGAATTGATCAAGAGGAAGCTTCAATGGCTTCAGCGGCATTGAATGTGGTCCGTGTGTCCGGATGTGCAGGCCTGCGGGCAGTGGGGACCAACCTTTCTGGCAGGTGTGCCACAAATGATCTCTGCACCCTCCCCGAGTGCCACTCGGATCCCCTTCCTCTGCCCAATCTGCTGCTCTGCTTTCTGCCCCCTCCCTGATCTGCCATGTGCCACACACAATGGCCTACTGTGCCACTTGTGATGTGCATGCTGCAGGTTGGCCACCCCTGTCTTAAGGTGTGGGCACACGATGCGGTTACTCTGGAGGGTTCTCACTTTTACTCCACAAGAAAAATGGAGAGGACACAAGACGCACAGCACTGACTGTGGGAAATGCTGTTCTCCTGCTCTGGGGGGAGTTGAAAGTAAATTTACACCAAAGAAAGTTAGTTGGGTGTATGTACTGTGTGCCCGCAACCGTTGTCAACATCACTCTGGAGCTCACTGGTCCCTCTGTAGCGGCAAGGGGCTGTCACAGCACCTACTTTGGACAGCCGGCGTGAGGAGGCCAGTTGTGTGTGCTCGTTACTGCAGAGTACAGTCCAGGGTAAATGACTCCAGAATGAAAATTTTGTGTGTCTGCTCTTGGCGATGACTGGGAATGATTTTTTGGGAGCAGGGAGAAGGGATTCTCCTCTAAGCTGCATCCCACATGGTTTCTCTTTGCTGGATAATGCCCCCAGGGCATGCCCTGATGGATCTCCACAGGACCCACAGGCTTGTGGATCTTCAGTCCTTTGGGGACAAACACCATGGGGACAGCTCTCTTCCCCATCCCCTCCTATAGTTCTCTGCATATTTATCAATTGGCGTTTACCAAATGACCCTTGGTTAGCCTCCTGGCACATGTTCCCTTGCTTGAAATGCTGTTTGTGCAGTACTTTTGTTTTCCAGTGAACTTCATTCCCTAGCACATTTGACCTGAAAGCCTTTTCTTATTTTGTACATCAAGAAACAGTGAAAGGGGCTGGTAATTGTCTGGTTTGTGTGTCCCTGTCCTCTCTTGGAGATAAGCATTGTGTCATAAGTGTCTACTGTGATAATTAAAAGGTTCCTTTTCAGATCAAGCGGTGGAGGTCTGTGGTTCAGGAGCAGGAGACAGCTGTCCATTGCTCATTCAACCACTACAGCACATACTCGTGTCCTGATGGCTTCAATGCCACTTAAGCATGGACTCGCACCTAAGCCTGTATGTCAGCGCTCGGCCGTATCAGGGCCTTTACTGCACCTGGTGCTGTTAAGTTCTACCTGACCATGGTTACAATGGCAAAGTCCAAGGTGCCTGCAGATATGTTGCTATATGAGGGGGATGTACAACAAAATGCTCTTCCTTTTGAGCAATTTTGCTTAGCATTTGCGAGAGGATGTCATTAACCAGTAACATGGCAGCTACTTAATATTAACCAGTAATATGGTTAATATTAAGTTGGAGAAGTTCCCTTTGGCCTCTCTAAGCCCATAATGGTGGATGGCAAAGAGCATATCTGGCAATTGGGCTCATGTACGCACCACGATTTTTGCCCTTTCATGCACTGAAACTGTGTGTCTGTTTGCACAAGTGGGATTTCCTGACTCTTTAAAAGTTTTTCTTGTGCATTAAACTAAAACTCCTTGGACGTAGCTTAGTTTAACTCGCTGGGAATTCAAGTGCCATGTCCATGGATTTGTTGCATGCAAACACAAAGGCACTCAAAGATATGTAATGAGCCTCTTTGTTCACCAGATGGTGCTGCGACTTTTTTATAGTTCACCCCTTCAAATTGGTTTCGCTTTCAAATTGCTTCCACCTTTTTTTTTTCTTGTGTGGCTTTTTTTTTCTCCTTGTTTGCCAGCTGCCTGTTTCCACAGCTGCATGGCAGGGCACGGGCACGGGCACAGGCACGGGGTGGGTGGGGGGCCCTGGGCAGGAGGGACAGTGCTGAATCATCCCAGTCTCCTGCAGTGCCGGCCAGGGACCTGGATTAATTCAGTTTGGAAACCTAGTGTGTATAAACACAAATGCGATGCTCCAAGGCTTAATTCATTTGAAAACCTAGTGTGTGTAAACACAGATGAGATGCTCCAAAATAAACAATTTTAAATTTTATAAACCTATTTAATTTAATGAAGATTAAAACCCATGGTGTGTACATTGATTAGGGGATAAATCACTCTAGAGATACCCGGTTCAGTGCTCCCCCTGAATAGCATCTGCCAGTGTTGTAGAAACATTACTGGGCTAGATGGTTTAACCCACTATGACACTTCTTATGTTCTTACGGCTGCTTTAACAGGTGTTTTGCTTTTCCTCCCTCTTCCCCCAAACCAGGATGCATCGGCCAATAAAGGAAGAACCCAGTTATGGAACGGGCAGCCTTGAGAATGCAACTCGGGACCCAAGCCAAGAGCAGCTGCATGTGAAGCTCTGTAGTGGGTCCTGCCATGCCGAGCAGATCCTCCAGACGCTGAACTCCTATCGGCAGAGTGGCATCTTCACGGATGTGGTGCTCGCAATTGATGGGCAGGAGTTCCCTTGCCACCGCGCCACCTTGTCGGCTAACAGCACCTATTTTCGAGCCATGTTTGGGGGCCATCTCAAGGAAGGCCACCAAGACGTTGTTACCATCCAGAAGATCTCTGCCTCCAGCATGAGCCTCCTCCTCGATTACATGTACGGGGGAAATATCATCCTCCAGGAAGACAATGTTGAAGGCATCTTGGAGCTCTCCGACTTGCTTCAGATCTCTCAGCTCCGAGATGCTTGCATCCGCTTCCTCGAAGGCCAGCTTCACCCCTGCAACTGCTTAGGCATGATGAAGTTTGCTGACTCATTTGCTATTGCATCCCTGGCGGAAAAGAGCAAGAGGTTCCTGCTGGAGTGTTTCGTGGAGGTGTCGTCACACGAAGAGTTCCTGGGGCTGAATGCAAAGGAGCTGGCTGGGTACCTGTCCGACGAGCAGCTGGTGGTCCCCAGGGAGGAGGTGGTCTTTGAGGCAGCCATGCGATGGGTACGGCATGATGCAGCTGCCAGGAAGGCGGCCTTGAAGGACCTGCTGGAGCACGTGCGCCTCCCTCTGCTGGACCCCACGTACTTCCTGGAGAAGGTCGAGACGGATGAACTCATTCAGGACTCCAGAGAGTGCATCCCTTTGCTACATGAGGCGCGCAAGTACTACATCCTTGGGAATGAGGTTGGCTCCCTGCGGTCCAGGCCGAGGAGGTAAGACACAGGAGATCCTGCTGCGTGTATGAGTCACAAACCTGAGGATCTTAAGGGGGGGACCCTTAGGCTCATCTGCTCTGAGCTCCTGGGGCTGCTGTGAGGGTAGATGTTTCTGAAGTCCCTTGTTGGTGAGGAGTACTGTGAAGGGCACTGACCTCTGAATAAGTGCACAGAGCCAGGGATCTCTCTAAAACAAACTTGTGAGGAGGACAAGGGACGAGAGGCCACTTTTCACACCCTACAGCAGTCTCCAGTATGGAGAGCACTGAGCCGGGACCAGGATTCTGGTCTGCACTCTGCCACTGACCCCCTGCATGACCTTGGTCAAGTCTCTACTCTCTGTGCCTCTATTTTTCCCCTGTGGGTTGTCCATTGAAAATGAGCTGCTTGAGGCAGAGGCTCTCCTTTAAGATGGGTCAGTGCCTAGCAGAGTGAAGCAACCCACCCATGACTAGACCCTGTGGGCGATGCTGATAATACCATATTTACTTGAATCCAAGATGAGGGTCTTCCCCCATTCAGCATGTCGGGGGGGAAGCGCCTCGTCTTGGATTCAAGTACAACGTGGACGTGCTATGGCTTCAAGTACAAGGTGGCAGCTGCTATGGCTTTACTCCAGCCCTGAGCCTGGGTCAGAGCCAGAGTTAGTCACAGCAGCCACCTGCCCAGCCACAGCCTCTATCCTCTCCCTTGCCCCCTTACAGTCAAGCACAGCCCTGGCTCCATTCCTTCGCAGGGCACGGAGCTCGTGGAAGCTGTGTTTCCTGCCCAGCTAAGCAGCAGATGCAGCAGGTCCAGCAGTTCCAGCTCTGTGATCCTGCTGCATGGCTGGGCAATGGCCACATTTTCATATGCACCATGACCCAGGAGGGAGTGGAGTTGGGGCCATGTCTGACAGCAAGGGAATGGGGAGGAAGGGGGCAGAGGCTGCGGGGGCACCAGGGGTTGCAGGAACTGTGGGAGGGGAAGGGATAGGCAAGCTGCAGGGGGTAGAAGTGTTTTGGAGGAGACAAGGGCAGGGGGCTACCTGCTCCCTGCTGCTTCTTTCCCTGTGGCAGTCATAGGGGGACAAATTTAAGGTAACCTTCTGCTAATTAGATGCTACACCTGGAAAACTGCAATGAATTTACAAATTTTCCATATATAGACTCTAATTATTGGGGGGCCGTCTTAGATTCAGGGTCACCTTGGGTTCAGGTGAATGTGGTGTCAAGCAAACCTCTGCTCCTGTCTGTGCTCAGCTGCGGTTTTAAGCCAGGGGAGCATCCACAAAGGGTCTGTTCCTCTTATACCATTGAGGTGAGGCTGGATATATCCATGTAGAAATGTGTGTTCATGAGCAACTTTGTTGCTGAAACTATAGGGTCTGGGACAGAAGTTTCATAAACTGGTTTAACCCAAATCAGTTAAGTCTGATACTGTGTTCAACCAGGTTTATCTTAAACCAGTTTCAGCCATTTTGAAACTGGTTTATGTCCACTGAGCTTCTGTTCTGTTACAGGTTTAAACTAGTTTTTAATCTCTTAAACTGGTTTATGTGTAATTTCTGTCCCTAGCCGAGGTGTCTATGCATTTCAGGCGCTTACAGGATTAGGATAGGACTCTGAGGACCCACTCGTGGATTTAATGGGTGTCTAAATTCTGCCCCAGTCCTTTTGAGACCCCAGCCTGGAGTGACTTGCCCAAGGCTACGAGAGCATCCGTGGTAGAGCCAAGAACCCAACACCCACCTCGCAAGTCCAAAGACAACCCCAACTGAGTCTTCTCCTCCCCATTAAGGCAGAATTTTTCTTCTTCCAGAGTTTAGTTTATTGCTGTTGCTGCAGAGCGTGTGATTCCTGGCAGTTGTCTTCTTTTTGGACAGCCATCATGGGCCAGTGGCCAAGATAACACTCTTCCTCATTGGCAAGGTAGACAAGGGGTACAGGGAAACAAAGGCACATACGTGGAGTGACATGCCCAGGGTCCCACAGCCAGTCAGTGGCAGACCTAAGAATAAAACCCAGTCTTCCTGGCTCCCAAACCAGTGGTTCTGGCCACAGGACCATGCTGTCCATCAGAGAGGCTCCGAACGATAATAGCTGTCATGGTGCTTTCTGCGAGACAGTAGGACAGAGGAGATAAAGCTTGTGACTCAGCTGCATGCCAGAAAGATGGGACCATTGCTTCAAGATTTTTCCACGCGTCTCTCGTTCTAGGTTCATGGACTTAGCAGAGGTCATCGTCGTTATTGGGGGCTGCGACAAGAAAGGCCTCCTGAAGCTCCCTTTCACCGACATGTACCACCCCAAGAGCAGGCAGTGGACGGCGCTGTCCAGTCTGCCCGGATATACCAAGTCGGAGTTTGCTGCCTGCGCCCTGAAGAATGATGTGTACATATCAGGTGAGAGCCCCAGCTGTGCACCAGGCGTTCCTGAGACGCCCGGTCCAGACTCCAAGGTGCTCTCCAGCTTTTGAGCCAGTCCAGTCTGCCAGCTCGACATGACAGCCGTTCACCCGGATCGTGCCACAGTTGGTTTTTTTTTTTTAATTATTCAAGTTTTGTGCATTTTCGACTGCCGTTACACCATAGATTTCATAGTAGAGAAGGCAAGAATTCTCATGGGTGATATATTTTATTGGACCAAGTGCATGGTAAGCTTTTGGGTATCACATTGCCCTTCTTCAGGCCTCTAGGTTCATGGAAGAAAGCGGAGGAAGGGTACTTTGATGAGCAAAAGTTTGCCTAAGTGTATAGCAACATAGAAATGAGGGTTGGAAGGGAGCTCAGGAGGTCACATCTACTCCAACCCCTGTTGAAACTGTTCAAAGTTCAAAGCAGGACCATTTCCAGCTAGATCGTCCCAGCCAAAGCTTTGTCAAGCCAGGTTTTGAAAACCTCCAAGGGTAGATCTTCCACCACCTCTCTGGGTAACCTGTTCCAGTGCTCCTCGTGAGAAAATTCTTCAATGCAGTTGGTCCGACAAAATATATCACCTGCAAGAAATCTTGCCTCTCACCTATCCCCTGGGCCATCATGGCAACAACATCACCTGATCAATTGTCGGCTTGTGCACCAAGATCAGGAGTCTGAGGCTAGATGGCTTTGTGACTCATCAAGTGAGACCTCCTGAATCATACGTCTCTCGTGGAGTTTTGCAGGCAGAGGCTCTGAGAGGGGCGTCCATCATGCTTTGTGCTAATTCCCACCTGCTTTGAGCTCAGACCTCTGAAGATCCCTAATGACATGTCCTTCCTGGCTCAGCTGCCTTGGTCTATTGGGAGGATGCGAAACCAGGGCTATCTTTTTCCAAAGTTGCCTGGGCATTTCCAACTCCTACTTCTGGACATTGAGTTATTCCACTGCCCAGGAAGTTCTCTCCTCTCTAATGCAGCACAGTGACCTGGCTAGCATGTATACACACCACTGTCCGCTCATGGATAGAATTAGACTTGCTGGCCACAGAGAAAAGCCAACTGGGAAGACAGCTGCCTGGCTAGGGAAGTAGCTGTCTGTAGGAGTGGGCTTTCCACATAGCACATCTCAGCGGATGGGAGCAGAGATATGAGGCGGAGGGGATAGGATCAGAGACCCTGGGGCTTAAAAGAAAATATCTTGAGTGAGGCTGAGTGTGGAGCAGATAACAGCGGGGCCAAGACTTGGAGGGCCAGGACTTCACAGCCAGCTGTGTTAAATTGCATTCTTCTTGTGTGACCTTTCTGGGCTTGAAAATCCCCTGAGTTCACAATAAAGTCAGAGGCTTAGTCTGTCTTTGGTGGAGCACACCAAAACACCGGACATCTCCCTGGAGAACTTGTTCTCATGAGAACCAAAGGCGAGGTTTGCAGTCCTCAGGGGTTCACTTGGATCTACTAAGCACTGAGCTCTGGATTTCTTGTCCAAGCCTTTTTTTTGAGGTTTCCTAATCAGACCTGAGCATGCACTGGGCAATAGTTTATTCTTCAGATACTATGTTCCTTTTAAACTGTTCTCATTGCTGTGTTTCATGACAATTGCAAAAAGCCAAGCTCAAACACATAGGCTGAGCTATTGTGCTCCTGAAACTTTTAGCCAGCTACTCTTGCATCAGAAGGCAGGTAGACAGCAGCTGATGAAGTGAACTTGGGTTTGTGAAAGCTTGTGCTACATAGCACAAGATATAGCTATATATGTCGTGTGCATGCATGCGTCCTCCCTCCCTCCCTCCCTACTTACATATAGCACACACTATTTACATATAAGAAAGATATACATCTTAGAGTTGGCCTGTAAAGGTGTGCATCTTCCCTGCCTTCTGACTGACTTCAGACTAACACGGCTAACTACCTCTCTCTAGACTTGCCATGCTCATTTGTGAACTGCAGGTACTGTGCTGGTGCCGCCGACCTAGCTTAGACTAAGTAGCATGAGATACAGTATAAGCATCTGAGGGCCTCCACTGCCGTTCCTGTTGTGACTGCAGCTGGCATGAGGCATGTGTCTCAATTTAACTACTACGGCATGGAGCTCAGCACAGCCTGGCTGAGTACTTACCCAGTTTTTGGGGTAGGTTTTGCTGTGCTGATTTTGCTGCAATGAGGCCCTAAGCCTAACTAACTGGTTCAAAGGTAGCTCTGCTATATCTACCTTATACAATGTAGATGTACCTCTATGCTCTCACTGTGCCCATTATTGTAGCAGATAAGCTCCTTTGATTATATTAGGGTCCCTAAAAGCAGGCCACTGATGCAACAGGTAGACTAAACAGGTGTTCCCAGGCCCCATTATCATTGCATAGAAATAGCCGGATGGGAATGGATGGGTGGCCCATTTTGCTTACTATCCAAATTTCCACCGACAGTAGGCGTGTGGCCCTACTTCTGCTGAAGCAGTCAGAACTTGGGCCTTTTTGTCTCCTTTGATCTCCTTTTCCCCTCTTCCACCTTCTCTCTTTACACTACACATGCAACCTTTACCTGTCCTGTGCTGGGTCAGTGTGAGGCGGTGGTGACCAGTATGCTAAGCTCTCTCACCGCTGTTCAGTTTGGAGGTGGTGGTTGCACTCCCCTTGACTATGCTGTGCCTGTCTGTCTTCCAGGAGGGCACATCAACAGCAGTGATGTCTGGGTGCTCAGCTCCCAGCTCAACGTGTGGATCAAAGTCGCCTGCTTGCAGAAAGGCAGGTGGAGGCACAAAATGGCAACTCTTCAGGGAAAGGTACATTCTTCCTCCCCCTGCCTATGCACTGCAACTTGGAATTGCCGCCTATGAAAGACTTTTAAAGCATCCAGAAATCCCGCTCATGCAAACAGACGTGCAGTTGCAGTGCATGAAAGGGCAAAAAACGTGGTGTGTATATATGCCCTATGAACCAAAGCAGCTAACTGAGGCTGTAACCCTTGTTCTTCCTCCTGTGACAGTAGCAGGTACTTTGAAATGCACAGTACCACAAATCATTTCTGCTCCAGGCAGGGCCATCCCGGGGAAGGTGGTGGGGAGCGCCCCGGGCTCCACACTTTGGGGGGCCCTGTGGAGCCGGACAGAGCGGCTGCAGCTACACATCCGGCCACTCAAAATGCCTAAACTAAATATCTATGTTTATCTATGGCTACCAGTACAAATGGCTCGTACTTTATACCAGGCTGCCATATCAGGGCCACAGGCCTTGGGAGTTCAGATGCCCCTCATTTTGCTTGATTGTAGCCAATAGGCCAAGAAGCGATTGCCCTTTGGCTGTCACATGTGCAGGGAGCTCTGAGCTCCCAGCTCATCAACATGGGATTCCTGCTCTAGCCACTGCTTTCATGCGGCTTGGATGCTCAGGTGGTGAGTGCTGCTGTTCATCCTCAGTTTCCCCTGCCCCAAATTTAGTATGAGGAAGAGGGTAGGGGGTGAATAGTGGCAGTGCTGAGCCCCTGAACTCTGGAGCCATAATTCCTTCAAAATCAAGGTTCCTGTGACCAATATGATGGAATCGTAGCCTTCCCCCTCGCCCACCCAGCACCATGACCCCTGATGACTCTCTCTCCTCCTTCCATGGCAGATCTATGCCGTCGGTGGGTTTGATGGCATTTACCGCCTCTCCAGCGTTGAATGCTATGATACTTTCTCCAATCGTTGGTCAATTTTGGCACCTTTGCCCCAAGCGGTGAGCTCAGCAGCCGTCGTCCCCTGTCTCAACAAGCTATATGTGCTCGGGGGTGCTGTCGATGACAGTGTGAACTCAGACAAGGTACTGTGGTTGTAGGGGTTGGCTGGGCTGAGGGGAATGCATGATGGGGTGGTAGAAGATGAACACTGGTGGGAGTGCCCCACAGCTTCAGGACCACTGATTGGAGGCCTCCTGTAACAGGTGGCCTGTCCCTTTAAGAGGGAACAGCCAGCCCTGCTGAGAGAGCCCAGCTATGGGGCATTTAGATAGGCAGTGTCTCCCAAAGAGCTTTAAAAAGCTCCCAGAAGAGTCAGCAAGGGAGAAGAACAGCTTGACGCAAGGAGAGGCCAGGCTGGCATGCTGGGACCAGAGCCAAAGGGCTCTTCTAGTGACTGGGAAGGGCTTGGTTTGACTGGTCTGTTTGCCTGTGGCAGCTTCTTGCTCTAGTGCACGATGCACAGCTGTGCTATTACATTGCCCAGTAAGTTTTTTCCTGCTCCTGCCATTTAGCGGTGTCCTCAGGCCATGTGTGGTCAGGCCCCAGTTTCAGGTGGGTTAGGCAGTGCCCGGTTCTTCGTCGTTCTCTTTGGGATGCTGGGAGTCGCTGTACCGAGAGAACGAAGCAGTGACAAACTGCGCTTCTTCAGGACATGCAGTAGGAAGTTTATTCTGAGGTCTAAGCCTACGGTAAAATGATAATACTGTGCCTGGATAGTTCTCCTGAGCTGTATGTTGGTGCTAGGAAGGGAAGGCCATCTCATGGTTAGAGCAAAGCACGGAGAGTTTTTGCCTCTCTTAGTGTGAGAACTTGGAGCTTATAGTCCAAGCCAGTGTTTCTCAGCCTTTTTAGACGGGGGCACCCTTCATTTATCATATAATCATAGAATTATACACAATGAGGGGTGGAAGGGACCTCAGGAGGTCACATTTAGTCCAACCCCCTGCCCAAAGCAGGACCAGCCCCAACTAGATCATCCCAGGCAAGGCTTTGTCTGGCTAGGTCTTAAAAACCTCCAAGGATGGAGAGTCTGCAACCTTTTTGGGTAACCTGTCCTAGTGCTTTATTACCCTCCTAGTGAGAGATTTTTTCCTAATATCCAACCTCAACTTCCCTTGCTGAAACTGGAGCCCGTTGCTCCTTGTCCTGTCATCTGCCCTCACTGAGAACAGTCCAGCTCCATCCTCGTTGACACCACTCTTCAGGGAGTTAAAGGCTGCTATTAAATCCCTTCTCAGTCTTCTTTTCTCCAAGCTAAATAAGGCCACCTACCTCCTTTCCACACTAAATAAGCCTCGTTCCCTCCTTTGACACAAGGCGCCCCTCCATAACCAGCGTGAATTGAGCAGCACCCCCTTTCAAAAACCAACCGATTGATTACAGTGCTTTCCTCCCCGCAGAGGGGCCAGACGGTGGGGGTGAGTAGTGGTCAGGCAGGGAGGAATCTCAGCCTCCCCTTTTCTGCTTATCTCCCCATATCTGCTCATCTTTGAGGCACGCTTCAAAAGAGTTCGTGGCACCCCAGGGTGCCCCAGCACCCTGGTTGAGCACAGTTCCAGGTAATGTTTGATGGGACTGCCATTGCAAGGGGGGTTTGTAGCAATAGTATGACCACCTACCCATCTGTAAGTGTGTCATGGTCTCCATGGGGAAGACTGAAAATCAGGCCATGCACAACATCTCTGGTCCATCACCCGAAAACTTTAGCTCTCCCAAATGAGCGCGCGGTTCCATAACACCGAAGTCTAAGTGATTTTTCCAAGACTTGTTGAGAGCCGAGATGGGACCCCAGCACTCCTGTTTCCCGTGTGGTCTTCTCCTCCACGAGCTGCTCTCGTCCTCCTCTCCACTCTTTTCATGATTGGCGATCCCATCCATCTGAGCCAACACGCTACTGCGTATCTAGCTTGGTTTGTAGCCCACCGTCTTTTTTTGTCTGAGCAGGGGCTGCAAAGGAGTGGGAATCTCACTAACCACTTCCTTTTCCTCTTCCCAGGTCCAGTGTTACGATCCTGCAGAAAACAAGTGGACGCTCCTGTCTCCCACCCCCTTCTCTCAGAGGTGTATTAATGCCGTGTCTTTGGACAACAGGATTTACATTGTGGGTGGGCTCCTGAATAAAATCTTCTGCTATGACCCCAAGGAAGACACCTGGAAGGAAGCGGCTGCTCTCCCGGGACCTCTGGTAAGAGCAGATCAGTAAGAAGGCCCCACCATCCCTCGTTCTCTGCCATCCTCTCTGTGGGCAATAAAGCATCACCGAAAACTATGGGCAAGTTGACAAAAGCTTGGCATGAACTTCAAGCAGTTAAACAGCCCTCTAGCTCCACCAGAATTAGTCTCATGCTTAAAGTTAACATGCACAAAGTTAATAAGCAGCTTTCATCTCTACGCTCATTGACCTTGGAAATGAGGCGGTTGTGCCCTCAGCACCATAGTCCAGGCCCGGGCTTTTGGTACGCTCAAAGTCAGCGACTTGGGGCCTCTTAGGGCATCCTTATACCCTCATTTCTAGGGATGAAGTGGGTGAATAGGGCTCATTCCCTCAATGGAGCAGCTGAGATCTCCAGCAGACAGGCCCGGCCATATGCTACGTGTCCAATACCAGACCCAGACTGCTCCGCATCACAGCTAATCGAAGGGTGTTTTTTTTGTTACAGATACTCTTTCATCCCAAATGAATATATAGTTTTAATTTGGTCGTTTTTTTTCTCTCCGCTGGTGGAGGAGGGGAGAATGTCTCTTGGTTACCAAAAACTTTAGATTGTGGCATTTTAGTCATTTATCTATTGGGGAAAAAAACAAATGAAAACCAAACCCAAAGCACTTTCAGACTTTTTAAAGAATCGAGAAATATTTCATTTAGAAGGGAACCCCGCTTCTCCCCCCAGCTTTGCATTTTTTGGAAATCTCACATTGTAGTGGGGCATTTAAAAGCAAAAACAGCATACTTTTGAGGAGGAGAAGCCAAGGGAAAAAAAGTCCTATCCGCCTCTCCCAACTGTGTATCCTTGGCCTCTTACACGACTGATTTTTGCTGCAGGGTGATGGCTGGCTATGCCATGCCCTGCTCTTGCTTATGCACGTGGTATGTGCTCCTTGCTTTATACATGAAGTAGTCTCACCGCTTCCCTAGGACACCATCTCTATTTAGATACCTACACGTGGTGGGATTGCTTGCTTAGCACTTGCCTTTGGTGCTGTGATCCTCTGCTAGTCTGAGAAACGGTATGGAGCGGCAGCGATCACCTCACCTGGCTGAGGCAGCATCGTCCATGGTTGGTCTGTGGCCGTCAATAAAATGTTACCCAGAATTAATCCATCTAAGCTCGAGGGGCTCCCAAGGCCATTCAAGCCAGGCCACCAGGTCCCTTTCTGTTTGCTTGCCCTTCCTTCCCTGCCCTTTCCACATGTAATTTCCCAGCTGGATGAGTCTGAAGTGAGTGTGATGAGGATGAACCCCGCTCAGTGTTTTGTTCAGCCTTGGGTTTGGAGCCCTGCTGTGCAAAACTTGGGGCGACACCTTTACCTCTGAGCTTTCTGTCCCCTCCCTAGGAGAGCTGTGGTGTGACGGTTTGCGGTGGCAAGATCTACATCCTGGGAGGCCGGGATGAAAACGGGGAGGGCACCGACAAGGCCTTCACCTTTGACCCAGCCACGGGGCAAGTGGAGCAGCAGCCCCCGCTGCAGCGCTGCACCAGTTACCACGGCTGTGTCACCCTCCTCCAGCGCATCAGCAGATGACCTCCGTCTGGAAGATGAGCAGAGATTCACTATAGACCCCAGGTTCCCATTGGGCTGCAGAGGGAAGGGCTCTGTTTTGCAGATGCATGCATGTGTAACCCACTGGGTGGTATGTGTTGTGTGTCCCCGCTCTGTGCACAGCTCATAGAAGATGTGAATCTCCCCTGACCCCAGTGCAGAACCTGGATCTTTTCATTCAAATTGGAAAGAGGCATGGGTTTAGCACTGGGACATTCATAGGGTCATAGAAAATGAAGGTGTGAAGGGACCTCAGGAGGCCCCATCTAGCCCACCCCCCTGCTCAGAGCAGGCCCAGCCCCAACTACATCATCCCAGCCAAAGCTTTGTCTAGCTGGGTATTAAAAAAACTCCAAGGATGGAGAGTCCACCACCTCCCTGGGTAACCTGTTCCCCTCCTACCAATGCAGCCCCGTATGCAGTTAGTCTTCCTGGCAACAAGGGCACACTGTTGGCTCATATTCAACTTATTATCCACTGTAACCATTCCTCATGTCATCCAAGCTGTTGGCCAAGATAGTGGCCTTCTCACACACATGGTGAGCATGTCCCATTAACCCTGGGGATATGCGCCTGGCTTTGGAAAGCAAGCAACATTTTCATCAGGATCCCTCACAAGGTCAACCGGTAAAAAAAAACCCCCAAAACTTGAATCTTCTGTCCTAACTCTGGCCAAACCTTCAGGCAATCCCAATCTATGCCAGGCTACGTGCTCTGTACATACAGTAGACTTATTTCTGCCCTCACACCCCATAAAAACATACGGCGCAGAATTCAGGACCCAGAAGAGCTGGGGGATCGCTGCTTCTTCCCAAATGCCTTTTTTGTGGCTTGATTGCCAGTGTAGTGGCCTGTTACTGAGAGAAGTAGGAAGAGTGCGGATCTGGGACTTCTCCACTCCAGGCTGGTGTTCTACCATCCAGGTGAAGAAGCCCATGATTTGTACGTGCTCTCATTTAAAAAAAGAAAATAAACATTGAAAAGCTTTTGGTTTCACATCCTCTTCCTCCCCACCCCTTAGTGGAATGAAACCAAGCTTTGAATGCATCTAAAATGACCACAAAACATTACCACCACCTTCAGGTCAGCTCTGCTGT